ACCCATGAATGCGCCCTTAATAACCATGTAAGTGTATTGGCGCTGGTTCCGCTGGAAACTTGTTTTGGGAAAATATGTGAACTTTTATGGGGCACTAGAACGCGTACGGTAACCATTACATTGAGGGTGCGTTCCTACCTCGTGTGAGACACGAAGTGGAGGTTTGGATGGAGGTTCGGAAGACTCGAAGTGGGCCACTTCAGGTCTTCCTCGACTTCACTTCGTGTCTAACCTCATGTCAGACACGAGCCAAGAATGTACCCTCAGGGTCCACGCATTTTGTAACTCACTTCTCGCGTTTGATAACTCGCTTCACGCTTTGGTAACTAAAAACTAGTAAAATTTCAGGTGACGTGACCCTGATTTCAGCTTTTCTCGTTTTGCGGAAAATTAATTTGACGAATCCTAGCGCATCGTGTTTTGCCTTCCACACACATTTTCCAAATCTAAGGTAATTAATACGCACGTAGCTTTTCGTTATGCTTATTACGAAATTCGATAAGTTTAACAGCGCACTTTTATAACATTATGATTGTTTATGAGGCAAAAAAAAAGAATATAACCCGTTCGGTTGGCATGCGATCCCAAAAGTCATATACAGGTCGTGCTGTGTGCGCCAGAAGACTCTGGGAGTTGGCTCCAATAAAGGAGACTCCAACGATTACAATATGTGGCATGTACCCCGTCAGATGCCATGTCGATATTAGTTTATGCATTAAATTTACACCTCGAACAAACATGTAATGGGACTATGCTACTTGGTCAACCATCTAACCTAGTTGGTTGAATATCCAGTATCCTTCCCTTTTTTACTGAACACCATCGAGATCCTCTACAGGTTATTTGAATTCACAAAATAGAGTTGTCATATGCATCTCACCGTTGCACTGTTTTCGAGTTGCTCTCACCATCGCATTGCAGTCACCACCTCTCGCACATTGCAGCTTTGGTATGCTCATGCTTGTGGTGCTCGCTGGACGGTCTTCATTATCCGAGGATGCTGGGAAGACCAAGCATACCGTGGTGTGGGTAAGTTCCAGTCACGCAGCTTGTTACATGTTGCCATAATTGCATCTTTCCAATTAAAGTGAAAGAATCTGCTTCATAGGCTTATTGATGTGTATTTTCACCTTTTCAAACTTGCGGTTTTGTCCATCCTCTTTCACTCTCTCGGGTAACCGAGTGCATGACGTCGGGTGGTTCAGATAGCCTCAAGCAACCCACCGTGGACGCCACTCCTTGGGATGTTGTGCTGGCCTGGATGAGCTGGCAGTGAGCTGCACCGTGGAGCGCACTGCAAGCCGCCCAAGCATTGCACACATTGCCAACCAGCTGCAGGCTGTCAGGGAGGAGGTGGCGGGGAAAGAGGAATCTGGCGCTGCCATCAAGGTGGATGCGCAAGTCCAGGAGATGAAGGATGTTGTTGCGGGTGAGGACAGTCTGGAGACACAACTTCAAATGATGCGGATAGCGGTACACCGAACCCCCAGTCTTCGATTGGGATGGGGTTATCATGGTTGAGTTGTACTTGGAGTATGAGACACTGTTGCATCGTATGCATCATTCCAGGCTCCTGATTGTTTTGGGGGGTCAAGGGACTGCCCTGCTGTTTGTGATAGTTAACTAGCTACTTTGCTCATTTTACACACCTTCTTTTCTTTTACACTATAGGAAGGTCTTGCTTGACATTGTCAAAGAGAATGAATGAGTATAATGAGGCATACAGTGGGGGTATATTCAATGTCATACCCTCTATGGTGCAACTCTAGGCAAGCCTACAAGTTCACATACAAAAACATGTTTGTGTACTTTGACACACTGGGAGCTAATGATGGGAGCCATAGCTAGAGTAACGTGAGTGAGGAGAGAGGTATCGAGAGTAGAAATGATGGAAGAAGAGGGTTTCAGTATGGAGCGACAATACAAATAGTCATGAACAAGGAAGGTGCACCACCAATGTAATATATACTACACTTCTGTAGGCAATTATATAAAATGTGTACATACATATTTCAACACACCCCCTAACTGCCCACAATAGAAATCACGTGCATAATGCACCCCCTGAGGGGATACACCAGACAGAGTGCAAACCTTAGCCACGGTAGATGCAGCAGTGGCGTGTGCAGGCGACGACAGGTGGGCAAGAGAGAAGGCGTTGTGGCTGCAACAAGCAGTAGTAAAGCACGGCTCAGCACCTCCGGGGGCGAACCAGGAGAGAGCAGCAGCAGACAAGAGCAGTGGCAGGCAGTGATGGCAGATGGAGCTGCAGAACCTAACCCACGGTAGATGCATCAGCGGTGGGTGCAGGCGACATCAGGTGGGCGAGAGAGCAGGTGCTGTGGATGCAACGAGCAGATGGATAGCACGGAAGTAGCATGCAGCCACATATCTGGGGGCGAGCCTGTAGCATGCAGCAGCAGCAGGTGCAAGTGGCGACAGGGGCGGCAACAGTAGGTGCCACTAAACGGTACGACATAAGAGAGACGGGCGGAACGGGAGGCAAAGTGAGAAACAAAAGAGAGGGGAGATAGAGGAGGAGTAGGGGCTAGTGCTGAAACTTGAGCTTAGAATCCATAGATTAGTAATGGGCTCAAGGTTCTTTAAGTACATTGGAAATGGGCAAGGTAAGGGTGGGGACAGAATCGGGGACAATCCTAGGGAATTGGAGGTAATCCCAAGGCAATCTCCAATTGGTGGGTTGGAGATTGCTTGGAGATCACATTTGGGTTTGGTTGGGATGTGGGTGTACACCCAACCAAACACAAAGTGCAAACTACACTAAACTAGGATATAAAAAGTACAAGTACAAAGGTGAGATTGAGGGCTAACATCAATACTGGCATGTGCTTCAAACTCCTATATGACGCCCTCTTAACACCTTCTGGCACTCGCGAACATGGCACTCGCAAGGAGGCTCACCACACGGAGGCAACCCTTGCCTTCACCAAGCCTAAGCGCTTTTGAGGCACCTCAAAAGCATTCACCAGACCAATGGCCATGAGAAAGGTCGTCCACCACCCCACTGCAAAAGCGGCCCTCCTGATCGCTGCTGCCCAGTGCTCCCTTTGTGCGCCGACACTTCATCTCAATCCGGTACGAAGGGGGTATTGTAGGGGCGGGGGTCGAAGCAATCATCCACTCCTCTAGAACCTACCTTGAGGACTCCTCCCAATCCATCCACTCACACACCCTGCCCTCCACCTCGACGCCAGTAACGATTTTAACGCCAACAAGAGAGCGGAGGCGGGCGTATTCGAGGGCTTTGTCATTGCCCCCAGGAGTTCCTCATTCCCGTCACCGCATCGTCCTACAGCAGCAGCCACTTGCGGCTCATCCTTGACACCGCCTTCAACTCAACGCCGCCCACCTCATCAGCGCCACAGGTGTTTGTTCGGCAGAGGGATGCCATGTCGTGGGCCCCCTCTCCTTTTCGCTTTTGGGCTCAAAGCAATGCCCTCCCACCCTACTGTCGCCATCCTGGCTGGCAGTCAGGTGGGAGGAGGCAACCACGTGGCGCTCTTTGCCCCCCCCAAGACTGCTCTGCTGTTTTCGACTCCTTGACTTCGGCCATCATCCTTCTGCCCAAAACATCTCCATATGCGGGGGATGCTCACCCAGCCCTCAACCAAACCTGCTTCTGTCTGCCGACCCGCGCCACCCTCTTCAGCAGTGGCCTGCGTGTTGTTCTCGGCGGTCCTGTGGGGTCCACAGCCTTCAGCGTGGCGTCCATCCAGCAGCGCCTCTCGGTCAAATGATGAGCCTCTGAAACCCTCTCCCAGGTCAACCCCCAAATCTGCCTCCTCTTTCTCTCCCTCTGCATCGGCCGCATGTCCTTTTTCCTCCATGCTTCTCCGCCGAACACCCTACCTGCGAAGGAATGGTCGGAATGGGGTGAAGCAGCCTACCACATCGGTGTGCCACGCCACATCAACCCCCCTGCATCGCCACCCTGGGGTTCAGTCCAGCACTTGGCGCCAGACCTCCCTCCCAACATCCCTGGGCGGGCTCGGCCTCTCATACCCAGCCGCAGAGCAAGTTCTTGACGTTAACGGCCACAATAGCGCATTTACTCAGTGCCACCAGCGGCTCACTGCACCCTAGCATCGCGGCTCTTTTCCCGCTCTTCAGCCCAAACCCTAACAGCCGAGCAGCTCTCCCAAGACGCCCGGCTGTAGCGGACAGAAACCACCGCCACAGCCTGCCTCCTTGCTTCACCTACTCTGAGACGGCTTAGAATCGCTCAACGCGCAGTGGGGTGTGAGCCTACCTGTGCAGGCCGCAAGATTCTATGCTGCTGGAGGAGAGCAACCCCCCGCTCAGGAATATGGAGCTGAACGCCCTGCTCGGACACAGCCAGCGCACGCACTCCCTCCTTCGTCGGTGTTGGTGCGCCTGGGCCGTGGTGTTTCGTTTAAGCCTACCACACCTTGTGCCCACCGCATGTGACTGGAACGACGCGACAGAGATACTCGGCCCACGTCTCCCAAACCATTTGCTCCGCTGCGGGACCGACAAAGGGAGGACTGACACTCACAATGCTGCTGTGCGCGATGAAATGCGCATTTGCATTGACCAGAATCGCATCCGACTGCGGTCTCACGGTCCACAAAGAGCTGAAGGGCTCAGGGTGGATCTCGCCATGCGCCAACCCAACTCGGGGGGGCGTGTGGCTGTATGATGTGACGGTGACAGACCCAATCTCTCTGCAAGACCCCATGGCCTTCCACAGCATTGGTTGGGTGGCCAAGAAACTGCCCGTGCCAAAGAACAGAAATCCCACTGCAACCGGACGGCCTGGGTCGGGTTCTAGGCATTGGCTGTGGAGACGTACGGGTACGTTTCATCGGGTAAGCTCAAGTTCTTTTACAGGTGCGCCACCGTTGTGGCTAAACAACTCCAAGCTAAGCCAGGCAGAGCCGGCTGGTTCTTGAGAGTCGGGTTCCTGCAAAAACGGCCAGCTCTTCTAGCACTACCGCCAGCGGTGGTCCATCCATCGATCATCCTCCAACACGCTAAGGAGTCAGGCCAACAATGCCCTAACCGCCAAGTCCCACACTGCCTTGGTGGCTGGCACGGGTGGAGCCCATCGACGTGCTTCATGAGCCCATTGACTTGGGGGGGGGCTTGATGCAAGCCCTGGGGCCGGCTTGCGAGCTCGTGTAAGGCAGTTCTGGGCGTAGATTTGCTTGTCCTGTACTCACCTTCCATTACGCTGTAGCCCCATGTATATACAAGGACCATTCGAGGGTGAGAACGCATTGTGGGAGAGACGTGAATAGAGAAAGCGAGATCGAATTGCATAGCGGGTGTGTGGAGGGATGGGAAGGGGACGGGGAGGGATTGAGATACGGGAGAGCGGGGGCAAACAGTGCAGAATGATGTAGTGTGATGCGGTGTGATGCAGTGCAGTGCGGGCACTCACGTATTTATGAAAGTCCCTGGGCACGGAGGGCGAGGGGTTGACAACGGCAGCGAGGTTAAACTCGGAGAAGAACCGGTCGACGGGGTTCCTGAGAATGACAATGAACTTGCTCCTGGGCAGCACCAGGTGTAGCAGCTCCGGCACCGTGTGCCTGTCGTCCACGTGGCCTCGCAGCACCACGCCTGAGCTTGTGTGCAGCGTGCTGGACACCTCGCCTGTCACCGCGCTTCCCCCCGTGTTCACCATGTGCTGCGCTGCCTCGTCAAAGAGCGACACGTACCACGCAAAGTCCCGTGCGCCATTGCGGTCCCGCCTGCACAAGGGAGGGTGGGGATGGGGCAGCGGGGGTATGGAGGCAGGAGTGGGGAGGAGGTGGGGGGGAAACCGCGGGGAAGGGATGGGAAGAGGGTGGAGGGGAGTAGGGAGATGTGATGGGTGAGAGTGTGTGCTTATCGGACAGTTGCGGTCCTAGTTTAGAAGGTTTGGGATGCTTAAGAATGGGGAAGGGGAGGGTAAGGCGCATCAGAATTTGTCCAATGTATGCTACACAACGTGGTTGAAGGGTTATGTCTTGAGAGGTTCTACAAAGAACAGGGGTTCTTGAGAGGGTTGAAGTTGAGGAGGATGAGAGGAGGGGAGGGAGGGGAGTGGCTGTGGGGAGATGAGGATGGTGGTTGTTGTGTGGCAGGAGGGGAGAGGACGAGAGGCAGGGAAGCAGAAAAGGGAGGACGATATAGAGGACTGCGATTGAGCTGTTGGTGGAAGCATTCAAAGAAGAAGAAACTGCACGGGGGTGGTGTGTGGATGGGCGGAGAGGATTGTTAGAGGGAATTGAGTCATAAACGTTGTGCATTATTGATTGTTGCTGGGATGGGATGGCATGGCAGCACAGGAACTGACTAGGGCGAGGATAAGGATTGGCAAGGATTGTTGAATTGTGCTCATCATGAGCTGGGGAGAAGGCAAGGCAGGTCCTCCTACCACTAGGGGTTGGGGATGGCGGCTGGGAATATGCCCGGGATGATGGAGGAGGTCAGCTTGCGGTACAGGTCCTGCGTGCCCGCCCTGGAATGGTGGGCGGGATAGGCATGTGCGACAGGGGGGGGGGGAGGAAGCGAAGGACAGAGCAGGCATGATGGAGGACGTGAGCTTGCGGTACAGGTCCTGTGTGCCCGCCCTGGCAGTGTCGGCATTGTGGTGGGATATGCATGCAGGCAGTGGGTGCGAGACAAGGGGGGTGGGAAAGGGAAGAACAAGACGGAGCGGGCGTGATGAGTGAGGGGTGAGGTTCTAGTACAGATCCTTCTTGCATGGCGGCACTGAGAGTGTGTGGGTGGGGTACACGCATGGTGCACAGGGAGGGGAAGGGAAGGGGAAAGGAGGGGGGGTAGGACGTACGGAGGCGAGTGCAAGAAGAAGCAGTGAGGGACGGGGAACATTCTGGTACACGTGCAGCAGCAAGAGCAGGGGCAAGTGCACGAACAGGAGCTGACAGGAATATCAGTTGGAGAAAAGAAATGAAGAAGATCGCCTATGGCAGACGGAGAAGAAGAAAAATGTTGGTGGCAAGAGGAGGCACCAGGTGCAGGAGCAAGAGTGATTGCAAGCTGTTGGGGCTGAGCTAACAGATGGTGAAAAGAGATGAAGAGAAAAACACCGGATAATGAAGAGGAAAGTAGCAAGAGGAGGCACCTGGTGGCACCAATGATGAAGAAGTGCGGCAGGCAGTGCACCTCAGGTCCTGCCGCTCCCTCATTGCCCCCACTCCCCGCACTCCCCACACTCCCTGCCTGCACGCGCCAGCACGGATTCCGCATGCTGCTGTCCATGCCCTGCCGGGGCAGCATCTTGAACTCCTCCCCTAACTTCATCCACATGTCCCGCGCCACTGCCCCCTCACCGCCCGTGCCCCCCTGCTCCTCCGCTGACGCCCCTCCCCCGACTCACTCCCCCCAATTCTCCCCCGCACTTCCTCCCCCGCCCCCGGCCACAGCCCCTGCCGCTTCCCCTGCTGCATCCAACCCTCCTCCCATACCACCAGCAGCACCACCAGCACCAACAACAGCACGAGCAGCACCAGGCACAGGAACAGAAGCTGCAGGAGCAGTGGCATCGGGATCATGCAGCGTTGCGGGTGACACATGCTCCTCATTGAGAACGCGTGTGTTGTCAAACTCCTGGGGCTCCAGGGCGGCTTCAGAGCCCTGCAGTGCGCGGCACAGCACCAGGCCCTGCTGCGACCCCGCCACCACCAGCAGCACCTCCAGGTGCTCCAGCCCCTGCACTAGCGCCGGGGTGCCGTCCTGAGGGGGCGCTGGGCGGCCTAGCTGCCCGTGCTGGTTGTCGCCCCTGGAGGGAGGGAGGGAAGAGCGCGGGGGGGGGGGGGGAGACGGGTGGGGAGGGGGAGTGGTGGTGAGGTTGGGAGGGAGGACGGAGACAAGAGGAGTACAGGATCTCATCCACACTGCGCAACTCACCACGAGTACACCATGCCATGGCTCAGCCTCGCCACAGCAAAGCCCTCCCCAACCGACACCTTCTCCACCGTCTGCGGATCCAACCCAACCACCCCCTCCCCTCCCACTGCCCCTCCTCCTCCTCCTCCGCTCCCCACAACCCCCAGCCGATTCACGGGCACCTGACCCTGGCCCTCCCCCCATGCGCGTCCCAGCAGCGGCCCCGCCTCGCCCCACGACACGGCCTTGTAGTCCGCCGTCACTGCAAACGTCGTGTGGTGCGCTGCTTTCACCGACCGCACCTCCGGCCCTGCCGCCCTCCCCTCCTCCCCTCCACCAGGATGGGAGCCCAGATGCGGGGGCACGCGCACAGCAGAAGGGCGGTCCAGGGGAACCCCAGGCGCCACTCCCAGCCACGATCTGTGCTGCTCAGGGTCAACCCGAATCCCCTGAGGAGTGAAACCCAGTGTGGCACACGAGCACGATGCCCGACCCTGTGAGTGCCACCCAGTGGTCCGTGCCCACATCCACCTCCACTACCTGCTCCCCCTCCACCCCAGCCTCCACCACCCTCGGCTGCGCCGCTGCCAGGGCCGCGTTTCTCAGCCGCTGCCGCCACGCCTCCCTCTCACTGCTGCTGCCACTCCCGGCAGTGCTTGTGGGTGATTTTTCTGGGAACTCATCAGCAGCAGCATCGGTATCGTCATCGAAGCCAGAGTCGTGCTCGTGGCGCCAGGGGGCGTTGCCGGTGTAGAGGTTGGCGCCCCAGGTGAAGAGGCGGCCGTGCTGCGTGATGGCGAGTGTGAAGTACCGCCCTGCCACTATCGCCAGCACTCGCTCCTGGGCCAGCAGCCCTCCCACCAGCCCAGGCCGGAAGCCGTCTTCCTGGTGGGGGTGGGATATGGGAGCAAAGAGGTGAGGTGGGATGGGGAAGGAGGGGGAGGAATGAGGAGGTGAGCGCATAATACTGCGTTATAAGTATTTCCAAAAGTGCGTGTGTTGACATGCACGGGACACGCGTGTGTGCCGTATGTTGGCATTGAGAGCAAGAGCTGTTGCTGCATGATGGCGAGTGTGAAGTATTGCCCTGCCACGTTGAGGCACCTCAAATCCATTTCGCCACGCACCACTAAATTTCGCCCAGCCAGATCTGCACACACACATGCACGCACCCCTCCGTCGCCCTCCAGATTTCGATGTGCACTCTGCTGGTGGGGGTGTAGTTAGTTGTGATGACTAGGGGGGTAACGGGGACAGACAACATTGAATTCCCCGACGCATGCCATCTGGTGGTTAGCTTCTTGTTACCACTCCATTTAGCGAATAGCGGCATTATCGCATAGCGAATTTCTCGTCGCCGCGCCACCACCCCAGCAGGGTCGTATCGTGCGAGCGTACTCCGTCTAGTTCAGTTCAGAGTATGGTTCCTGGTCTCAGCACCGTGTCTCTCGTGGGTCCTCTCTCCCCGTCACAACTTGTCGTCTCTTTCGTCACCATCTCTTTCCATGCAACAATCGCTGGGCCATACCCCTCCCGCCCACTCTAATCCTTTCGGCTCCGCGCGCCCAGGCCTTTATGCGGCTTCCGCCTCCGGTCCGTCAACGTCAGCGACAGCGGTTGCCGATCTGTCAAAGTTCGGCTACCGGTCGACGGCGGAAGATGTGACGGAGGGCGTCAATTTGAGCGGCAAAGTGGCAATCGTGCTGGAAAAGGGATTGGCCCGCGAAACAGGGTCACCCTCGAAATCGGTTGACGTGACATGAGTGGATTGAAGTACTCTCGCCAATGTTAGGAAATCCTTCGCGCCACATTTCGTGGTTGACAGACGGAATTTTATGTGATCCTTCGCAAAGGAATCGTCTTCGCCAGTGCAGTAATTTCGAGAAACGAAGCTACCGAGTCGATTTGCGACGTAGATAGCGATCAACTTGGTGACACCTAACCAAAGTTCGGAAGGATGAGGCAATTTGGGGGAATTTGAGACTCCGGTTTGGGGTTTAGGCGGAAAGGAGGGTGGGGGTGGGGTTGGCATGGGGAAAGGAAAACGGAGAGGAAGTGGGAGAGAATGGGGAACAGCAAGGCGGGAACAGAATGGTATGGGAAGGGGAATGGGGGTTGAGAGGGGGAAGAGGAGAGGAGGAAGGAGGGTGGGGGTGGGGTTGGCATGGACGCGATACCGCAGCTGTGAGGTACGGCAGCAGCACGCGCAGCGGCAACGTGCGACGTTCTCTCCCATTCCCCTTCCGCACGTTCTTTCCTAGCTTCCACCCGAGGCGCATTTCTTCCACGTCTTCGTTGTGTCGCCGTTAACTGATTTTGCTCGTCCGCTCATCAGCTCGGCGCCGCCCAGATTTCGCCCTCCTCTCCTCTTTTCCACCCTAGGCTGAGGCTCCTCTTTTCTCCTCGTTGTCATTCGTGGAAAGCGTATGAAGAGTTCTTCTTGTCATGTGTGAATAACGCTTCCCCCTTTCTCCGTTCCTTCTCCACGCGCGCCCATCTCTGCTCCGCGTGCGAGCCTCTTCCTTTCTAATAAAGTTTCTCCCCCCTGCGTGCCTCCTCACCCGCGCGCAATCCCTTCCCCCCCTGCTTTCCCCCCTCTCCTCCCTCCCTCCCGCCCCCTTCCCCCCCACCTCGCGCCTTCTCCCCCCCCCCCCCCTCTTTTCCCCCCGCTTCCCTGCCCCTGCGAATCTCCTCCTCCCCCGGCGAATTCCCTTTCCCCCCCGCGCGGATCTTCCCCCAAGGCGGCAGCAGTGGCATCGGCGCGGAGACGGCGAGGGTGCTGGCGCTGCGAGGCGCGTCCGTGGTGCTGGCGGTGCGCAACAAGGAGGCGTGGGAGGCATCATCAAGGACATCGAGGCACGAAGCGCGGCGGCTGCGGGAGGAGTTCCGCCGGCGGTACGCGAGCGGCGAGCTCGTGAGCGTCATATGTCTGGACCTGGCCTCACTCATATCGGTGCGCTCATTTGCCGCGGATTACCTGTGCCTTAACCGCCAGCTGCACCTGCTCATTTGCGCGCGGAGGGGGGGGGTGGGGGGGGAAGTGGGGGGGAGGGGGAAGGGGCGAGGGTGGGGGAGGAGACGAAGGGGGGGAGAGGTGAGGGACGGGGGGAGGGGGAAGGGTGGGGGGGGAGTGGGGAAAAAGGTGGGGGCTTGTGATGGGGGGAGAGATTATTCAGTTGAAGTCTGAAATGTCCTGCTGGTGGTGGTGCCTTACTGTGATGCTGCCCCACTGCGATGCTGCCCCATGCCCCATAATAACACACCTTCCTCCTTCCCTCACTCCCTCCTTCCCTCCTTCCTCCATCCCTCCCCCCCTGCTTCCCTGCCTACCACCCATTATGCCAGTCATTCTACTTTATTCTTCACTTAATCCGTTCGTTCAGACCCTTCCCCTTCCCCCGCACCAAACCCGACGTCCCCTTTTCCTCATCCCTTCCTACCCCCATTCCACCTCACCCACCCCACCACCACTCCCACCTCGGCCCACCCAACCCCACCCCCGGCAGCAACAATGCGGGCGTGATGTTATGTCCTTACATGCTCACTAGCTATGAGAATCAGTTTGGCACCAACCACGTGGGTGAGTGCAGGGGAGCAGCAACCGCATGGGTGAGGCAAGCAAGCAAGCAGGTTGCATGCGCACAGCGTGAGTGGCAGTGTGCAGTGTGAGTGGTGGGAGGGAGTGGAGCGAGTGCAGTAGAGTCTTATTTGCCGGTTGTACTCTTCGTTCGCATGCCAGAGTGTGTGTGTTGCCCTCCCTCTCCTCTTTTTAGCATGAGGCTCAGGCTGATCGCACCACACCTCCACCGCCTCCCTCTCCCTCGTTTTTCCGTCCACCCGGCCCCCCTCCTCCCCCTTTCCCGTTCATCCCCTCACCCCCCTCCTCCACACATATCCCCTTCCCACTTGCATCGCACGCCCTACCCATTGCAGGCCACTTCCTGCTGAACAACCTGCTGCTGCCGAAGCAGGAGGGCGCAGCGGCTCAAGGTGCGATGCGAGGCTGTGGGAGAGGAGGGTGTGCTTGAAGGAGTGGGTGTGTGGGTGTTGTGTGAGTGAGTGGGTGTGTGCGAGTGTCAGTGTGTGTGTGTGTAGGTGGGTGGATATGTGTGCGGTGTGGGTGTGTGCGTGAGTGTTTGTATGAGTGGGAGGGGAAGGGAAGAAGTAGGCAGGTGAAACACACTAGAAAGCGCTTTTTCATGCCAGTCTCAAATCCCTTTCCAAATATCTCTTCCTCCTCGTCCCCACTCTCCCAACTCTCTCCTTGTAAAACCCCCTGTGCTGGTATGACTGTGGTATGACTATGAAAGCTCTGTACCAGGGGTGATCGACCCTCAACAGAGGCAACCCCGGTTTTACTCACCAGCACCCTCCCTCACCCTCCCCCTTCCCCTCTCTCCCCTTTCCTTCTCTCCCTTTTTCCATGCGAGCAGGAGGAGGGTGCAAGAGTGACAGTGAACGCGCTGCACCCGCGGGTGATCGACACCAACCTCTCGCGCCGCATAGTGCCGCCGGGGACCATCTGGCACACCCTCGGACGTACGTGGGGCGGTGGGCGGGTGGGTGGGAAGGGCATAGTGCGTTTGGGCATGCCACATTGGGTCCACAAAATCCCTGGTTTGCTGCGGACCACTACAGTCTGTGATCCAGCTCATGGACCAGGCAAGTGCAGGCATAGTTACCATGCATCACAACTGGTCCGAGGCCTGGTTCGTTCGGGTCCGAGCCATTTCTGCAGGTCCGCCACGAAAAGTGGCAGGGGCTGATGCTGGTCCGTCAGACCAGTCCACGAAAGCAAGTGAGACGTGGTTCGGACCTGGTCCGTCGGTCAGACCATCCCTTCATCGGCGGATTACGGGTTCCGTGGACCCAATGTCTCTTGTCGTATAAGGCAAAGCCTTTTGCGCCACAGAGTGCAATCGTGGACTGTCGGCCACACCCTGGGACATAGTTGATGGGATGGGCGGGTGGGTGGGTGGGTGGGTTGGTGGTTGGTTGGGATAGAAAGAGGGGGAGGAGGGGCATCTGAAGGGTCGATGGGTTGATGGAAGCTGTATGGCACTTCCTTGACGTCCCAGCATGATTGAGTGCATGTGTTCGATCTTCGTCCACAGTAATCCCTGCTCACTGCGTGAGTACATGCTTGCAGCCTGCTTCTGCGTGAGCTTGGCTAAGCACCCATTGCTGTCTGTACATTTGTCTTGTGCCCTTGTGCCTTTCCACTGCCGCCCTGCCATGCTGTGCAACCAACCACCAGGGGGAGCGTACAGCCTGGTGTTCCAGTGGTTCATGAAGACCATTCCTCAGGTATGCGTCCAACCCTGCTGCAAGAATGATCATGAGTGTGATCGAAGCCGAGCTGCCTCTACTTTACCAACCCCTCACCCCTCCTCACCTCACCTCACCTCACCTCGCCTCACCGCTGCCACCTTTCACTGCTGCATGGTTGGGTGCCAGCACATCCCCATGCTCATGTGGACACTGCTTGCAACAAACCCAATGGGGCTACTTCTCATGCTCCACTACCTTCCAACCTTCCCCCTCCTCCCCCCTCCCCCCCCCTCCTCCCACTCAAGCCACGCCATCGTGCTGCCTCGCGGAAGACACCCTTTGCTGGTGCAAGCGCCTTCCGCCCTTCCCCCTCTTTCCTCTCACACACTCCTTCCACCTCCACCTAACCACCTCTTTGTCAAACTATATATGATGTCTAATTAGGTTTAGGCTTTAGTGGGGTAGCCAATGTAGGGTACAACCCCTTAGGGTTCTCTTCCTTGTACCCAATTCTCTCGATAGTCAATCACCTTCTCTAACATGGTATTAAGAGCACTTAGGTCTTAGGACCTAATTTCCTAGTGGGCCCACCGTTAACTCTCGTATTTTAGGGTTTCCTCTGCCTGTCGAGCTGCCCCACCCGTCGCGCCGCCCTGCTGGCCGCGCGACGCGCGCTTATTTTTCATTTTTTT